CAAAAAAAGAAGGAGGAGAGATCAGGAAGATAGATGTTTGATAGGAAAGAAGGAGCATACCACACCAGAGCACCCGCCAACCACCCACACACTGGAATCTGTTCCACCACCTCGTCAGTAACAAGTTATTTATGGAACGCTACATTTTCCCCCTTCTTTCTTTTATTGCAATGTATCTTTTCCAATTCTTCACTTGTGTCTCAAAGAATTATCTTTGAATTTGCATTAAAGAAAGAAAAAAAAACATATGTCGTCCTTATCTCTCCTCCTCCTTCTCTTTTGTGTTTGTTACTCTCTTGTTACACCTCTAATCTTTTTATCGTGTTACGAGTGCCGTAAAACAATTACTAAATTAAAATGCATGTACAGTATATCCTTGAACAGCACAGGGGTTACGTCCCAGGACCTTCAGAGATTTGTTTGTTTGTTTGTTTGTATGTCTGTTTGTTTGTTTGTTCGTGCGTTGTTGTTGTTGTTTTCGGGGGGAGGCATATAGTAGAAACGATATAAAATTTTATTACGGTTTAAATACACCCACACACACACACACTTTTATAAACATCTCCCGTACGCTCTTATAAATGAACACTATCAAACACTTGAGTATGGGAGATGAAGTCTTTAAAAAATGGAACATTCGCTCTACTTTTCTATTCGAAAGGTTCTTTCCTGACTTGTTCAAAACAATCGAGAAGTAAGGAAAAAGCGAATGGGGCTAAACTGGAAAAAGAAGGAGGGAGGGGTGGTGGTGGTGAAAGGAACCGAGAGAAGTAGACAGAGGCAAAGGGAGACAGAGATCTACTGATATAGTGAATACCACGGGAGAGAGAGGGAGAGAGCTTGAGATATGGATAGAGAGAGAGCAAGAGAGAGAGAGAGAGAGAGAGAGAGAGAGAGAGAGAGAGAGGGGGATACTGGGGTTCTATTCCTATGCATCTTTCAAAACTCTTTTTAAAAATATGCAGCTTCCAAAACTTTAAAAACTTAAAGCAATTTAATTAAGGAGAAGAGTCACAGAAATAAGGTGTTCAGAAAAGTGGGAAGACATGGAGCAACATCAAGAAGTTAGCCAAGGATAGAGAAAGGTGGAAAGTGTTGGTTCGTGGCTACACCGTGATGCAGGGTGAGAAAGGCAATGGTACGGTAGTGATGATGAATTGAGGATCCTTAATTATTGGACTCCCGCTGAAGTCGGACGTTAATCAAATTGGTTGAAGCAAATTGCAGAAGACAGCTTATGACGAATATACGAAAGCGACAGGCAAATTTCTTCGGACTCACAATGCGGAAAGAAGCATTGGAGAATATTGTAACAACAGGCAAGTTTGATGGAAACACAGGCAGAGGCAGACAGAAGGAAAAGATACTGGACAAGATGAGAACATGGCTTGGAGCAGCAAGAACATTAGACACCATTGCTGCAACTCAAGACAGTGAAGTGGAGGTCCAAGATCGCTCACGCCAGTCGGCAAGGCACCGGATGATGATGAGAAATACATCCTGGGAGATAAATCATACCAATCATACAGCTCAGCGTCGGTATGAAGATACTGTTGGGTGTGCCTTCAGCTCGGTAGTTTTCGGGCTGCACTGTGTTGCAGACGACCGCGGTTTGAGACCCTGTTTGGTGAGGAACGGAGGTTGAATTTCGGTTGCAAGAGGAGTTTTTCAAGACTTTCCGTCAACTAGGCTCTCTTTTTTTTGGGGGGGG